CTCCAGAGGATGGATCATCTCGCCAATAGATTCAAGATACAGGTCAGTTCATCATCTGTCTTCTGAGTACTTGTATATTAGCTAGTTTATGATTCGTTTGTCTTCTGATCTGTATTTCCATTAAAAAGCTAATACATAGACAATTTCATGAAAGTAGTACATAAACATGAGTATTCAACATGTGTTTCTCATTACAGTTATGCAGAGAAAAGGCCAGAAAACTAGTGACTTATCTTGAGTACTAGAGATTATCGGATTTCAGGCCATACAACACCCATACAGGACCTTGTACTAGCCAATTGAATATCATATTTCAACTCCATGTATATATCTGCATATCTGTACTCTCTCTACATATATTTAATTTGTATAATTATTAACAGAACCCACCTCATTATTTGACCGGTGGGCGGTGTTTACTTGATGAATGGACTCGTATTTTTCTTTCTTAATTTTTCTTTAAATTTACCCTTTTCACATAAATTTATTTGGGGTGATGGCGGTTTTTACACCCTATATCTGCTAAGACTATCACACCCTTAATTAATTGTCTCCATTTTTTTTTTTTGAAAAGATAAAAGTAGCCTTATTCAGTAATTTTCATTGTTATAACCAGTGTTTTAAAAACAGACACCGAACTGTCCAGGTGGCAGGTCAGTGGTTCAGTTGTCCACGTCAAATGAGCCAACCCTTAGTGTAATAATTAAATAATAAAAAATATAAAAAAATAAAATTAAAGAAAATACAGATATTAAGTAAAAATAAATTTAATGAGAATCATTATTTCTTAATAATAGAAATAGCTAAAAGTACAGAAAAAACAGAGAGATAATGTCTAACCTGTAAGCTGCAAACTGATCAACAGTAAGTCGTCCAACCAACCAACCAACCCACCGGGTCATTGACAAAAGTCAACAGCTTTTTATTCTTTTCTTTTTGTTTTTTTCAAGTAAACTATTTGGAGCTGAAACAGATCCAGCAATCTGACCAGGCGATGGATTGATTGGTAATTCAACCAGCTGATTTGACCACGGCTTGAAAATATTAATTATATAACTAAGAATTTTCAACAGGAGAGATGTCCCAATTGTGAAAAACTAACAATTAAAATTGATCATTAAAAGTTGATCCAACCCGCGAATCCGACCTGACCCAACCCAAAAAAATAGGGTTAAGGTCTCATATTTGCTATCGAATTTGAAAATGACCCGACCCGATCCGAAAAATTGGGTTGGGTTAATCTATTGACCCGATTGTTAAGTTTAATTGGGATTATTTATGTATTGTTAGAAGTTTTCAAGTTTTTTATTTTATATTTGGAATTTTAAGGTTAATTTTATTAATTTTGACATTTTTCATTTATTTTTTTATTTTTTAAAATTTTAATTATTTTTTGGGATGACCTGAATTGACCCATGGGTCAACCTTAACCCAAATATTTAAGGTTAGGGTCTAGCATTTGACAACCCAACCTGAATCCAACCCAACCCGAAATTAACCCGAAATACTTTGACCCAACCCAAACCCGACCCACCCAACCCAATTGCCAGGTTTATTAAAAACTATCATCAGTTTAATTTTAAACAGCAAAAGAAAGGTAGTTTCTCTTTGGTAAAGAAAATAGAGAACGAGGAAGATCGTTGATTGGTAGCAAGTTGAAATGTTGCACTCCATCATGCACATGGGTGGGCCCCCGGATCTGCTGGTTACCTATGGTTTGTAACCGATGCTAGATCCCCAATTAAAAAAAGACACTTGGATACCCATGTTAGATACATTAAGCATGTGAACTAGGGGTGATTATGGGTTGGTTAAATTCATTTATATGGCAGAACCTAGAACTTACAATCTATCTTGGGAAAGTTGGTTCTGACTTTGGTGGTTTTGAGGTCGGTTTCAGGGTCTACCTGTGTAACTTGTTTTTATATTTTACTCTCCCCTTTCAAAAAACAAAAAAAAAAAGAAGCATATTCTTTAAAACTTGATTTTCAATAAATATAAATGCATATTTTAAAACTTATATTATTTTTATTGATTAAATTGTGTATCTTATATGTAGATTATCATTATATAGTTCAAAACATATAATTTTAAATTTAAATTTTGTAACTATTATCTTTTACATTATTTATTGTACATATTCAAATATTAAAATGAAAAGAAATGATCAAATCACCTAAATAACTCAATGGTCAAGTGAGACCATGTCCTTTGTAATTAACCATGAGTGTTAGGATACAAATCTTCACATCCCTAAAAGTATTTTGGGGTTTATTTCAAGGCAAGTTCGATTCCAAGGTAGGTTCTACCAAGGTTAGTTTCACCAAGGCCAATCAAGGCTGGTTCATTAGGTCGGTTCAGGTGGGGTAAACCCCTAGACCTTGGAATCGGCTTGAGCGGGGGTCAGTTCCAAGAATTTGTGACAAGACGTACCCTGTAACAAATTGGGCAGGGTCAGTTCGAGGTTGATTCGATGTCAGTTCCATTCAGTTCTGAGTAAAACCCACCCATTTGCTCACCCCTAATGTGAACTATAAAAGAAAAACATTTACTTTCTTTTCTATGTCCTTTTTGTCACAAAACCGAAACCCCAAAGTTCTCTCTCTTTCCTGCCCTCTCTTTCTTCTGCAATTCCTTCTCTCCCCTTTGGACTAAAGAGTTGAAGGCCACTATTCTCTACCCTACTTTGTATTTTCTGCCCTCCCTTTGCAACCTCCCCAACTTTTGAAAAAGATAACTTGATGCTTGCCACCATTGCAGAGTTTCTCCACTCTTGCTTGGTTTTCACATGCTATAGAAGTTTGCCTTGGCTTAGTTAACCTCCACACCATCCCATCTAAGTTTTCACATGCCACCATTGTAAGATGCATTTGGGCCCTGTTCAGTTTTGGGGAAGTTACATGTCCATGTTTTTTTATTTCCCAGGTAAATAAGACAAATGTTTTAGTCATAAAAAACCATTATTAAAAGGGGCAGTTTTGTCCCATCCAAGTGTTGACAACTTTCCCCCATGTGAAAAAATTATTTACCCACTTAGGAGCTTAGGGAAAATAAATTTTCCATTGATCCCGCACAAATCTGATAAAAGAACATAGGCATCTTGGTCAATGGGAACCAATATCCCATTGACCAACTTTCCCTCCTCTCAAATCCAAAAAAGAAATGAACAGGCCCTTGATGGTTAATGTTCACTACAGTCTTACCTAATGGAATTTCTCATGAGTTTGATCCTATCTAAAGTTAGGATATCAGAGTTAATACTAGCATGTGAGAACCATAAGGTATAGGAAAACCTCAGCCTCTCATTTCATGATAACTAAGGTTATCAAGGGAAACTTAGGGGACATTTGTTTTTTGGATTTTGAGAGGGGGAAAGTTGGTCAATAGGATTTTGTTTCCTATTGACAGAGATACTTATGTTCTTTTTTTCAGATTTATGTGGGGACTATGAAAAATTTATTTTCCCTAGGTATCGCTTATCTGTATATCCATCTCGTATGCAGGTAAGTTTCCCACTTAGAAGGAAAAGTTATCAATACTTGAATAAGACAAAAATGCCTCCTTTAAAATATTTTTTTTTATGAATAAAACAATCATCTTATTTAACTAGCTAAGAAATAAAAGAACATATAAATGCACTTACCCAATTGATTATATCACCACAATTCTTATTTCATAATATACAAAAAAAAAATGTGTTTTAACATTCTAATTTAATTATTAAAAGCTATCACATACTTTTGATCTCACATGGGTATGAAACATGTCTCCAGGGTTTAATTGGGGATCTAAGCATTGGATAGAAACTATAAATAACTAACAAATCCCGAGGCTGTGGGACTGTACCACATGCCTCTCAATTTGTATACATGTGACAGATCTTTTTGTACTATCATCATAGAAACTTGAATTGTATTGATATATTGCATGTACCAGCTTGGGTGGCAACTCAGAAGGGCTACATGCTCTTGCTGGACCAATTATTGTCGATCTGATGGTAGCCCTTGTACTGGATGTTCCATGAGAGCCCCACCTCTTTAAATCACCCACAATGAACGGTATAAACGGGGGTACATCAACATTGAAAAGACAAAACTTCCCTCTATTTTATGATGAAATAAATTAATAGTTGGGGCTAATTTAGCCTTTTTAAAACAATGGGTGGGTTATTGACTATGTAGTATTGTACTTATCAACCAAAATCTAGGAAACATAAACGTTTTAAATTTTCTATAGCCAATGAATGGTAACATTAGTTAATAAATTTGCTCAGTTTTGCCTCATTGCATGTCTCTCTTGTGGGCACCACAGGCATGGAAAAAGTAAAGAGGGTCAGCAATCAAATGAAACCAGGTCTATAAAATCTATACATGATCATCGAGCAAAGTAACAGAGAGTGAGAATTTTGATAAAAGGCAAATCGATGGAGAAAGATCAAGGGCTCCAGGAACCCAACATGTGGCCATTTCTGAATCAATTTAATTATGATGGCTCTAGCATCAAAAGTTTCCAATTTTATTTTATCAGCCTTTGTATCGCTATAAGGCCACCACCCACTTGCCCTGTTGCCCAGAGCCTCATCTCATACCACCATTATTCCATGGAGTTGTCTCATTTTGTCCTTCGTCTTCAATTCGGAGAAATGATCATGTACTGCTACAATGATAATGCGCAAAGAAATAAAATCAATTTATTTGCTTTCAATTATTGAGACACTTGAATCATCAGACTTCAGAGTTCAGAAGCTTGAAAAAGAAAAACAGTAAAATTGCAATTCTGGAGTTCTCTCTTACCTCACACACACACATGATGAAAAGGGAAATAAGAATCTCTCTCTCTCTCTCCCTCTCTCTCTGACACCTCCCTCCCTCTACCCTACCCTACACATGACAATGTACTTGATCTTTTGCTCTAATCAACAACAAAAGAAGTGTACGTCTCTTCTGATTTCTGACCTTCTGTTTCATTTTCACCTCTAAAAAGCTTAACTCTACATCAGAAATTACAACCCCCTCCCCCCTTCCTCTTCTCTCATCCCACCAGACTTTCAATCAAACCTCACCTACCAATTGTAACTGCAATCAAATGTGAGTACCCACAACCCACCAATGAAACATCTCAACATCAAATTTCTTTGGTTTCATTTGTTTTTTTCTGTATATTCTTTTCAGTGGTTATTGCTTGGTTTTATTGTGAAATTTTGGGTTGACAAGCATGAGAATATAGATTCCAAAGAGAGGTCAGCTCCATTTCCAGGCCACTCTCCCAAGACTCCAAATAGTTGGGACCGTGACATTTTTTTCTATATATCTCTTTTCTCTGTTAGTCATTTCTTTACGTAACCAGACACTTCCTCTTAAAGCTTTTCCTTGGTCTTACCTTGGCTCTAATCACTCAATCAAGATCTTTCCACAAGGATCTAAGAGCCTCCATATCAAATGCTTTACTACTACTACTACAATGGTGAATGCTCATTAGTATGTCAAGTGTCAAAGCCTCGAAGTCAGTACAAAGGGTGAAGTCCAAACTCATTAGAGTCTTGTTTTCAAGAGGCTGCAAAGCATGGCTGGTTCAGACATTATTACTTCAAGCTGTGGAACCCCAGAAGACTACAATGACATTGAGTCTGGCATCTCTCCCAAGCCTCTCAACCAATCTAAGTTCGTCCTGCCTAAACTCAGGAATGTCGACACGGTTACAGTTGCTAGAAAAGTTGGACCTCTTTTCCTCATTCCTCCACTGGGAGTCTCGACCTATGATGAGAACCAAAATTCCGGAGGAGGCATCATCTCCCCAATGGATTCCAGATACAGGTTATTATATATGTATCCCATTATTACTGCTAATGAGCACTCTCTTCAGTCTTCTATATATAAATACGTACTCTGCATGAGGTAACTTTGAGCTCTATTGAGTGTTCAATATGAACTAGTGAAGATTAGAGATGATTGAGGCAGACACTGACTTGATTTACTGCGTTTTCCAACTTATGATTACAAATTTTTACTTCTATTTTGCTTAGTTTCTTTTGTTAAAGTGTATAAAATATTGGCAATTTTTTTGAGTTGCTGCTCTATTTAGAAATTCAGGTCCTCTGTATATACAATCTGATGCATATATTTTTTGGCTCTTTCAGATGCTGGGAGACCTTTATGGTGTTTTTGGTAGCTTATTCGGCATGGGTTTACCCATTTGAGGTTGCATTCTTTAAGGCCTCTCCCACAAGAGGACTCTACATAGCAGACAACATTGTTGACCTGTTCTTCGCCACTGACATCATTCTAACATTTTTTGTGGCTTACATTGATCCAAGAAGCCAGCTTCTAGTTAGGGATTCCAAAAAAATTGCCATGAGGTTTGCTGATTCCTCAAAATTTCTATATATATTCTTGTTTTCATCATACAATAACAAATTTTAGTGAGGTTTCAGATCTTCTGTTCTGATTGCAGGCAACTCTTCATTACTACATAAGGGGCTCGGTGAAAGAAAAATATTGCAATTCACCTCTGTGTTGAATGTTTCCATTACTCCTTTGTTATTAGTCTGACTGATTTTGGCATTGGAAGTAGTTCCTGAAATGAGTAGATTCAATGGCTCAGGCCGGCAAAACTCTGCCAGCTCTGGCCAAGGACAGCACAAGATCAGGACCCTCAACACATGGGTCAATACTCTTCTTCAGTCTTTATGGAAAAACCCATCTCATGACTAGGCACATTGATCAAATTATTAGGTTCAAGCTGGGGCCTAACTTTAATCCAATATAATTCATTCATTAGCAAAGTTTAAAAGTTATACTTGGTTCATAGGTGCAAACCAAACTGTCCCTAAAGGTTACTCAGGACAGTCCAGGCTGTTTAACTCCTTGACCCCATCAGGTGACTTGAATATCTTTTAAAAGAACTTCTAGACTAATAGATGGGTAGCTAAGTAAATGTAACTGACGATGCAAGTGAATATTCATGTATATAAATTTCCAAACTATTCTTTCACTGCAGTTGTTTAGATATGGGAAGCAATTACAATTACCACTTCCAATATGTTTGAGAACCTTGTAATTCTAATATATAGTAGCTTTATGACACTGGTTTTATGCTGTTTGCCAGATACCTCTCAACATGGTTTGTCATGGATATTGCTTCTACAATCCCCTTTGAAGCTCTGGGACACTTGTTTACAGGAAAATCCAAAGTGGGTCTCACTTACTGCCTGCTGGGATTGCTCCGGTTTTGGCGGTTAAGAAGGGTCAAGCAACTCTTCACAAGGTGATTGTTTATCCCTGTAAAGATGAGAGAATTACAGAGTTCATGCCCTCTCTAAGGATTCTTTAATTGAAATTTTTAGTCCTTTGCTTAATTGTATACATTTTTTGCAGGCTTGAGAAGGACATAAGATTCAGCTATTTCTGGATAAGATGTGCTAGACTTATATCTGTAAGTAAATTTCATTTGGATATAGCTTTTGAAGAGTGTACAGAATCATGAAAGAAATAGTAAAATTTGGTTCAGGTTACATTGTTTATGGTGCATTGTGCCGGATGCGTCTATTATTTGCTGGCTGACCGCTATCCACATCAAGGGAGGACATGGATTGGCTCAGTGATTCCTAATTTTAGAGAAGCAAAACTTTGGACCAGATACGTTTCATCCATTTACTGGTCCATCACTACCATGACTACTGTTGGTTATGGTGACCTACATGCTGTTAACTCCATGGAGATGATTTTCAACATATTCTATATGCTCTTCAACCTAGGCCTTACAGCCTACTTGATTGGAAATATGACCAATTTAGTTGTTGAAGGAACTCGTCGAACAATGGAATTTGTAAGTCCAATTAGTTTCCACATGCTTTATCAAAGTATAATTTAGCATAATTAATTTTTCTATATTAAGATATGATGGATTCCATCAGTACTAAATTGATAAATGCCTTGCTATACTAAAATTTTAATAAACTTGGTAGATTTCTTAAAGATTATTAGTTATACTAATTTGGTTGAGGGAGACAATTGTTACTGTTCACAAAGTTGGACTGTAATAGTTAGCACAGAACTCATTCAAGTATACAGGCTTTCAAACTATAAAGAATCATTTATAGTATTGGCCTTACAAGCTGAGTTTCCTTTCTGGGTTTTACTGAATCATATGATTCATTGCAGAGGAACAGCATACAAGCAGCTTCTAGCTTCGTGTGCCGAAACCATTTACCTCCAAGGTTGAAAGAGCAAATATTGGCATACATGTGCCTAAGATTTAGAGCTGAAAGCTTGAACCAGCAACAATTAATGGAACAACTTCCAAAATCAATCTGTAAAAGCATCTGCCAACATCTATTCCTACCAACAGTGGAGAAAGTATATCTTTTCAAAGGTGTATCGAGAGAAATATTATTGCTCCTGGTGAGTATTTTGGGTTCTTGGTTTCTGTTTGGCCTAATTATCTTATGTCCACCTAATAATCTCTCGTTAATGAGTTCTACAAACTGAACAGGTTGCAAAGATGAAGGCTGAGTATATCCCACCTAGAGAGGATATCATAATGCACAATGAAGCACCAGACGATGTTTATATAGTTGTATCTGGTGAAGTAGAGATAATTGACTATGAAATGGAGAAAGAAAGAGTTGTAGGTACACTGAGAACTGGTGACATTTTTGGGGAAGTTGGTGCGCTCTGCCTAAGACCTCAAAGCTTTACATTTAGAACAAAGACATTATCTCAACTCCTGAGGTTAAAAACATGTGCCTTGATGGAAGCCATGCGTGCCAAAGGACAAGATAACAAACTCATTCTTAAGAACTTCCTTCAGGTAAGTAAGCAATGAGACACAAGAATGGTAATGTACATTGGGCTAGCTTTGAGTTGGGATAGAAATATACATCTGAAACCTGACAAAGATCTTTACCAGATTAAGCAAAGCCAACCTTACCCCAAGAAGCCAAGAAGGTATATGACAAGGCAATCCTGATTCCTTATTTGATTGAGGACCCATAGTCCAAACCCCATCTAGTTGGATTTATATGGGTTTAGTAAATGACTTATCTTTTAGAGATTAGTCATTATATACTTTGCGAAATCCATTAAATGGCTGTTTTCTGTTTTATAAACTAAAAAACAAAGCTGTAGTTATTGAGTTCAGCCAATTCAACCGTTATTGAACACCCCTGAGTTGCCAATTCTATTGATGTGGGATAAATTAATTCTGCCAAGTTTAGTTACTCGGTTTCAATATGATGCATTGCAGCACTACAGGGAGCTTAAGGACCTCAATATCCATGACATGCTAATTGAGAATGGAGAAGGTGATGGTGAGCCCAACATGGCTGTCAACCTATTGACTGTAGCAAGTTCTGGTAATGCTGCCTTCCTAGATGAGCTTCTAAGGGCAAGGTTGGATCCTGATATCGGGGACTCCAGAGGAAGAACCCCACTTGTAAGTTCTAATTGTTATCTTCTAAAATCTAGAAAATCTTAAATTTGATATATAGAATATGGACACTCAAAAAGAAAACGGATAGTTGAACCTGCTGGTAGACCTTTTCAGGGTCCTTCCTGTTAAGAACCATGACTATTCTAAAGAATGAATTATACTTTTGGGAGTTTATTTATATTTTACTTTCTTATGGCATCACCAGCATATAGCAGCATCAAATGGACATGAAGAGTGTGTCTTGGTCCTCCTCAAGCATGCTTGCAAGGTAAACATAAAAGGTAATATGCCTTCTTTTCCAACTTTTTATAGTTCTTTTCCTAGTTCCTATTATGTATCTAATTTTGGTTTTCTTTCATCAACATGATCATGTATCACTGGTTACAGATGTAGATGGGAACACTCCCCTATGGGATGCAATTGCAGCCAATCACCATTCTATTTTCAGGATCCTATACCATTTTTCCTCCATTTCTGATCCCTACACTGCTGGGGAACTTCTCTGCACAGCAGCAAAAAGAAACGATCTTTCAACAATGAAGGAACTCTTGAAACATGGATTGAACATTGAATCGAAAAATCATGATGGATTCACTTCTCTACAGATCGCCTTGAATGAGAACTATAATGACATGGTAAACCTCCTGGTTATGAATGGTGCCAAGGTTGATCAGGCAAATCAGAGTGGGTTTCCTGCAGCAAGTTTGAATGAAATGGTGCAGAAAAGAGGGGTGGGCCATTGTATTACAATACCTGGAACTCTAATACATGACAATCTATCAGTGAGTTACAGAAAGATGCAAGAAGAAAAAGAGTCTAGTGAGGGAAAATCCAAAGGTGGGAATTTTCTGAGGGTGAGCATATATAAAGGGCATCCTTTAGTGAGGAAGTACACATTTGCCAGTGATTCTGGGAAGCTCATTAAGCTGCCAAGCTCAATGGAAGAGCTCAAAAACATTGCAGGTAACATCAGGAGGCCTTGTCTATCATCCACAGTTACTAGACCCTAAGCAGCTCTGAACCCACTTATTTTGATGCTGCCAGGCAGCATTATGTAATGAGCAGTCAATAGGAAAAAGCTTTAGCGGAGCCAGCATGGTTGGACTGACCCAACTGAAACTCTCGGTAGGCTGGACCATGGGTGCATTGTAATACATATATAATGGTGCCAGTCTATTGTTAACATAAAATATAACTTGAGCTGTGCTTGGTTGATCTCATCCCAGATGAAAATGGGCAGTCCAGTGCAAAAGGCTCCCGCCAATGCAGGGTCTGGGGAGGGACAGATGTAGACAGCCTTACCCTGTACATACAGAGAGGCTGTTTCCAAGTCATCCCATCTGAATATATACATATGATACCATATATTCATCTGGTATCTGGTCCCCTCATAATTTGTATCAAATGGTCTTGATGGTTTAGCTATGTCAAATATCAGCATAATCAGGTAATCTTTTACCATCTGATTTTGGCATCATTCATAGATCTGCTTATTAATTCCAAGAAAAACTTATCTCCCCCTCGAATTAATGCAGTAAAATTAGATGGTTATAGTCTTCTGTATATGATATTTTTGGCTCAACTGATAGACTAAGTTGGACTCATCTGGTGATTTTTGTGTCTACCAACCTAGCTAGTTTGTTTAGGTGATACTACTATCTGGCTCATCTAAATAATCCATTCTTATTAGATTGATTGCTGAGGTGAAAGAGATTATGGAAATGACTTCTGCTTTTCATTTATTGACAGGTGAGAAATTTGCTTTTGACCCAAAGAATGCAATTATAACAAATGAAGAAGGTGCAGAAATCGACTCCATTGAAACGATAAGGGATAATGATAAGCTTTTCATAGTTGAAAATACAGTTTGTACAAATTAATTAATCTTCAGAATCTTAGATGATTATGCAAATCGCCTTTCAACTTCAAAGAAGGAAAGGACGCTATTCTTCTCACTTGTGTCTTCTTGAAATAATGAATTTCAATTTTACTCATGCTTCACATATAACCAATAGGAGCAAAGTTTGAACTTGTTTCCAATTGATGGCTGTAAAAAACTTCATTTCAGCACATTTTGTAATAATTGATTGCAGTGTTAGTGGCAAATTTAGGGGGTCTTCTACAACATGAATGATTTTGTTTTCATTCGCATCTAAAAATTCCATTATCATAAAATTTGAAAATACATTCTTGGACTGTGTTTTTCTTTTGAGATGCAAAAAAAAATTGGTTTTGTTTGAAAAAGGAAGAAAAAAAAACATTCATGTTTTTTGAAGCAATCAAAATCACCAGATGAAACATGCTTTTCAAACCAGAAATTAGTCTTGGAAACAAAAAACACATACAAACCAATCACATGTTTTCTGTGTTTTTATTATAAGAGGCAGTTTTTTTCAAACTATCAGCTATAGTTTTTATTTATTTTTGGAACTCACAACAAGAAAAACAGCTTACATTGAAGAAGACCCCTTTATTATATTGGCAATATCATGTGTACTAAGTATTTGCTAAAACCAAAACCAATACTTTTCTTAAGGACATTGAGAGATTAGGGTTGTCATCAACATTAAGTGACAACCAATCAGTAAATACTACATGGAAATACAGAACCAGAAGATTTTTAAATCCTCCAAGTTTTCTTGTTGATTTTCAATAATAACCCCTCCCCCTCCCCCCAAATTCAAGGAAACTTTTAAAAGTTTTACACAATTGGTTTGAACTTTGAACCTTATACAATGTTCTAAGCAAGATTAATTAGATGTTCTTCCCACAAAATTAGATAAAAAATGATGCAATCCCTACTGCCAGTTTACTCGTATAAATGCAATAATGGTTTACTCCAAGGGTCATGACCCAATGTTGGTCCATTCTATCCAGGGTCTTTGGAGTAGGGGTGTCAATCAACCGGTTTTGGATTGGATCCAATCAGATTCAAACCTTGTCAAAAATCGGATTTGGACGGTCCATTATAATTATTGGATTGGGCCAATCCAAAATAAATTGGTCCATGTTCTTATTGGTCTGAATTGGACCTAAACCAAATTTCCAATAATCCGATCATGAGGCCAAACCCTTGTCCAATTTGAAACCGATCAAAACTGAAACTGGCATAAAATCAATTTTATGAAAGTACTTTTACGAAAGCACTTTTACAAAAGCACTTTTATAAAAGTAATTTTATGAATAGTATTTTTATGAAAGCACTTTTGCAAAAGTACTTTTACGAAAGCACTTTTACAAACGTACTTTTACGAAAGCACTTTTACAAACGTACTTTTTTGAAAGCACTTTTACAGAGTTTTATAAAGCACTTTAATAAAAGTACTTTTACACAAGCACTTTTATGAAATCACTTATACGAGCTTTTACAGAAGTACTTTTATAAAAGCACTTTTACGGAAGTACTTTTATAAAAGTACTTTTACGAAAGCATTTTTATGGAAGTACTTTTATAAAAGCACTTTTATGAAAGCACTTTTATGAAAGAACTTTTACGAAAGCGCTTTTACAAAAGTACTTTTATAAAAGTACTTCTATGAAAGTACTTTTACGAAAGCATTTTTACAAAAACACTTGTAAAAACACTTCCACGAAAGTACTTTTACAAAAGTACTTTTATAAAAGCACTTCTACAGAAGTACTTTTATAAGAGTACTTTTATCAAAGTACTTTTGTCAAAGCATTTATACAAAAGTGCTTTTTCAATGCCAAAAGAGTATTTTTTGTAATTTTCAGATTTTCTTCATTTTAATATATTTTTGTAATTTTTTATATGTTCTATTTTTTTATATAATTTTTGGTATTTCATTATTTGGATTGGATCCAATACAGTCCATTTACATTTTAATGGATTGGATTGGTTTTGATTTGTATTGATCCAGTCCATTTGTAAGTGGACTCACATTGGACATACAGTCCAATTGACACCTCTACATGAGAGGATAGACTGGATACATAGAACTGAATTCCAGTGTTTTTTTTTCACAAGGTGGCCACTCTCAAATTTGAACTCACGTTTTCAAGCTTATTAACCTGAGATTTTACCATGCATTGCACCAACCAATGGCCCCTAAAATTCATTAAACCACTAAAAAATGTCTTACAATTGGATCACAAGCCAGTTTGATTTATGCCAAAGTCTATGGTTTCAAGTTTTAGAAGCAGATTAGCAATCGAGGACCCGTGCGATGCACGAGTTTTGTTAATCAAGAAAGAAACAATCAAGACTTATAAACAAATTGAAAGAATCAAAAGAATGGTCTAATCAATTTGCCAAAAACTAAAATAAACTATAATGGGAATGGCCAAAACAAAGTTAATTTATTATTTAAAATAAATTCTTATTATTAATATTATTATTATTACTTAAATTATTTTTTTCTTTATTAATATACTTATTACTATTATTTAATAATAATTATTGTTTAAGTTATTTAATCATTTAATAATTTATTATTATTATCTATTTTTATTATATTTAAATAATTTTATTATTATTATTATTTAAATAATTTATTATTATGATTAATGTTTTTATTGTTATTATTACTGAAATCAACTTTTTATTATCAATATATTTATAATAATAATCATAATTTATTATTAGTATGATTATGTTTAAATAATAATTATTATTATTTAATAATTTAAGTTATTAATAAATAATATTTTATTATTATTACTAATATTATTTTTTACTATTATTATTATTATTATTATTATTATTATTATTATTATTATTACCCGTAATATTCACGGTTATAATCATAACAGTGTAGCATACGGGTCTTAATGGACCCGTTTTGGTTGTCTTCTTTACCTGGTCGTTAAGACGGGTATCGGAATGACCCGAATCAGTTTCTTTACTGATTTTTAATGATTTTTTCTTTTTTTTTTTTGTTGTTTCTAAACCTATGCATTTGTAAGAGTTAAAAAATGAGTTTGATCTCGTACCTGATGTTTGGAAGAGTTTACAACCTTGAAACTTTGAAACTGCTGAAACTGAAACGTCTACAACATTGCAACCTTTCAACCTGGAACAACCAAAAACTTATAAGAGTCAGTAACTTGCAAGCCTGTTCAACCAAAAACCTGCAGCTTTTGAAGAGTAGAAAACCTGGAAGCAAAAATGTAAGCAAACCTGTTAAACCTGTAATAAAAAATATAAGCAAACCTGCAACTTTTGAAGAGTAGAAAACCTGAGAGAGAATGCTAAAATGTCTCAAACTTACACAGTCAACTTGCTGGTGGCTGAAAATATTTTGCAATATCTGAAAATATTGCAGATGTTTGGGCTTCCAAGGGTTCGATTGTGAGGTTGAGAGATTGAGAGGAAGAAGTTCGGTTGAGATGTTTTGGCTCCCAAAGAACCCAAGAAGCAGTTGAGACGTTTGGGCTCCCAAGGGTGTCTTTGGGAACTCAAACACCCGATCCCAAGTGACGCGGATCTATTAAGTAAGCTCCCAATTGGGGGAGGGCTAACCTCTTTATGTGGCCCATTTTCCTAGGTAAAGAAGCCATCTCAACTTTCAAGGGAGAAACCAGTAATTGGATCATAACTCAAAGATTCTAATCTCTGCCATCAGCATGTAGGTTCCAATATAATCAAGAAGATACCTTTGGCTTTGAATTGTTGACATACATCTCTTTAGTTTATGAGAAGCCCCTCTGCTGGCTAAACCGTCTGCACTCCGCAGCTAGCTTCTTCCTATGTAGGCATGCACTTAAGAATTAGGATGCACTACAATGGAGCGAGATCAACCCAAATCTAACCCAATTGTATAAAATGGATACGGGATGGGCCTAAGCCCAATTTCAGTTAAAGGAGATCTTACCCAAATCCAACCCACTGAAACTAGGTTGGGTGCCACACCAGACCAGCCCAAGTTGTAGCCCTACCCAAATCATGTATGGTATCAAAAGATATGGTGCCAACTCCCAAGTATGGGCATTTTTCTTCAGTAATTCCTGTTTCACCATGTAGTCCACTCAGCAGAGAGCAATTTTCTGAAACCAAATTCCCATCCATGGATAGATCCTAATAACAGAGCTCCTTGATCACTGGGAGTGCAGCCATATGGCCCTAGGTTTTCCCAATTTGTCACATGTCAACAGAAAATGAAGCAATTTTCATAAAGAACCCTTGGGTTATAGGTTTCCTTTTTGTATTTCCTTTTTTCTTTTATTTCTCCTTAATTTTAATTTCCATTGCTTCCTTGGTCCAGTTTTGAAAACACTGCTTATTATCTTCTGTAGGAATTCAAGGTCTCATATGAATATGAAATATCTTTAAAACTTGAGGGATGAAGGAATTATTTGTAAAATCATTTAACAGGATAAGTGTTCTTGACTTTCTTTCCCAACTAGAACACTGGAATTGACCTAGAACTAAACCAATAGAGTTCAGTGCACTTACAAGTCAAGAAGTTAAGAGCTAATTGATAAAATATGAAAGAAATACAGAAATAGTTGATAAAACCTTAAAAAATAAATAGTGATTTCAAGATAAAGCAAGTTTTTGGATTTTCTCCTGTCAAACTTCAAAGTTGGTGTTGTACATGATCAAATTTGTTTCTGCATATTGGAACTATTACATTAACAAAAATAAATTACTACAATCTTTAATTAGTTAAAGAAGAACATGTAGACAATAAGTTAACCTAGACAAAAAGGTGGAAGAATATTATAGAGAGATCAAGGAGATGGAATCATGGAAAGAAGAGAAGCCAAGAGAATTCTTTCAGACATCACCAACAATAAGAAGGGAATACATATATCACAGATGACACTAAAGGGATAGAATGTGGCGGAAGATAGCTCTAGTGCCAAAAATTTTCTGTAAAATCTACCATATGGGTGAATGCTAATATTAAGGGGGAACCCGTTCTCAATATGCACACTGGGAAAATTTAAAATTTTTTCTTTGGCTATTTATGGTAGAGGGGAATGAACATTAACTCTTGTAATTAGGGGTGTCAATTGGACTGGATTTGGT